AACTGGTTTTAGTGGTTATATTGCATATCAGAACATCCTGTGCTCTGATCTTCGCACTGTATCCTGCAATATAACATGCTCCTTGATAAACTGGCATAAAATTAATTATATTTCTCTGTAATCTCTTATATAAAAAATGTTTTAAAATCTAATCTATCACTAGGTACAAATAACTGGCTGGATTTTTTTATAGAAAAGTGATAAGTATGGAGGACACATCGTGCATGAGATGCCAATAATGCAGTAAATGCACTTAACACACCCCCATTCCCTACGGAGTTAATACATTTGTCTATACAGAATCAAGGAGAAGCACATTCTATAAAAAAGCTTTATTTCAAACATAGTAAAAAAATAAATAAAACATAATTAATAGATACAATAGAACACTACGTGACAAAAACACATTATACACAAAACATAAACCAGAACATATCAATATAAGTATATCCAACCATATCATAAAGACCCCAAGTCCAAAGTCTAACACCCTGTACAACCTGATATATCAGAAAAAAGACAAGAAAATAAATTGGATTACGCACCACTGAATAAATAAAGGAGAAGAAATCAAAAATAATAACCCCCACACTTTTTGTTGTTGTTCGCCCTTTCTTTTCCTACTCAAGGTCAAAATGGAAGAAATAATTTGGCCAAACTTCACATTCTGCATCCTATCTAGAAGAAAGTCCAATATCCAGTTACAAAGAGAAGTAGTAATATACCGCTGTGTGATATTACTTATTAACTCCATTGGAGAAACAATATTAAAGGAAGATTTAAAATCACAAAACAGCATCCTCACAAAATGTTGTTATCCAAATGAGCCAGGACATAGTGAAAGGTAGTGATGATAGCATCTTCTCTTGACTTGTTAGGACAGTAAGCAAGCTGATGGGTGTCTGATGTAGGAGGCAAACAAGATGTTAAATGACCAATAACCAACTTCTCAAAGCACTTAGCTTCAATGAAGCGAAAGCATCTGGTCTAAAATCGTTAATGTCCTTAGCAGCAGCATGTTTTGGCAAAGGTACAATATTAATACAAACAACCATGTTACAAAGTACCCTCTGTCTGACACTTTTGCTACATTGTTTCTATTTATGTTGCTATAATAAAACCCACGAAAACTTCCCCAGGTCATTCGAATGCACAAATGACCGACCACCCATGATATGACATGTGCCGCCTATTAACCGCCCAGAAACTGCGTTTTTTTTGCTTGTTAACCCTGTTCACCTCTAAAGTACCAAACAAACTACCGAACATATTACCGAACGACTGACCACTTTGCATGAGGTGTGTGCCCCTTATTGACTGCCCAGAAGCAGCTTAATTGATGATCGGCTGGGTGGTCGTTGTTCGTATGAACGTGGTGGTGACCATCTTTAACTGCCGAACGCCCAGTGGGACTTGGTCGTCAACCTCCTGTTACTAATCTCAGACACTATTGTTCAGCTGGGATTGCCAAAACCCTGTCCGTTCATGTTTAAATCAATGAACACCGTACCGTTTGGTACTTTGAGACTCTGGAGGCTAGACCGACACTATGTCTGAACATTGTGGAGCTAATTACTGGGTTGACTTTTTGCCAAATAACCCTGGATACAAACTTTCTCCCCATGGCGTTCCCATCCCATTCGTGAGATCTGAGCGCTTTTTGAATATCTTGTGCGCTCAGATCCAAGTTGTCTGGGGATATGTTGAATGTATAAGTTAAATAATATATTGTATGAGTTATGGATTTTTATGTGGTTTTTAGTATAATTCCAAAACCAGAATATTGCCTGTACCTGGAGATAATTAAGTTACTGTGACCATTTAAGCTAATTATCTCCAGGATAGAGGGGAGGGTTTGAAAATATGCACTTTGCTCCTATTGGTTATTGTCCCTTGTCACACTGTGTACCATCAGGTCCAGAGGGGTGTGCCTCTGGCCTGAAAATGTGTACATAAGCAATGCCTTTCCGTTCAATAAACAAGACTTCTTACCCTCAACTCACAGCCTTGACTCGTGTTGTAGGGAAATGCTGATCACTAGCTCTGCTCAGAGCTCCAGGAATACTTTACACTTGCAGGAAGATCGCTAGTTTCTGAATTGGAGCTTTTTACCGCTCTCCAGGATCGGGGACAAGGACATCCAAGCAGTCCAACCCTCAGCTAGCTTGAGGCAACCGTAACAAACCACAATGTGCAAAAACACAATGTAACATGCACCCTCCAAAAAACAGAAGTTAAGATACTTATACACACACTGTTGATGGCAGGTAAAGAATATGTCACATAGTGTGTACTGATAAACAAATAGAAATGATGTATGATAAATGATTGCACTCACAAATTCCAGAGCTGTACCAGGCTCTGTGTAATATGCCCAATGTGCCCATACAGGCTAACGGAAAATGCCCATGGACCACTTCAGATGAAGGGATCATGGTGGTAAGTAAGATGTCCACAGCACCAGGATGAATATTCCAGGATTTATTAGAGTGGTAAAAAACTGAATAAAACAAATAAAAATCAATAAAAACAAATTAAAATAATCCTTTAGATAATCCCTAGATAATCCTGTATAGGCACCATTGGGCATATTACACAGAGCCTGGTACGGCTCTGGAATTCGTGAGTGCAATAATTTATCATACATCATTTCTAGTTGTTTATCAGTACACACTATGTGCCATATTCTTTTTTAGGCATTCCTGATATCTACCTGCCATCAACATTGTGTGTATAAGTATAAACCAACCTGCTAGGGTACATAAGGTAAATGAGTAAATTATTAATAATAAATTATTTTATTACCTTTGGAGGGGCAATAATCTAAAAAATCAGTTCACCCCTCGAAATGTAACAATGTATGTTCGTATTCCTAATGTTAGCGTGTTCCTTTAATTTCTGTGTTAATATTTTTAAAGCTTTATTTAGACCACGTTACCACAAGCTCCAAACCATTTAAAATCCGTCATTTACTCGCTATAGCCAAACTGTGTATAGTGCAATCGTAAACCAATATATATATATAAATATAGCCTGTGAAATTATATATCGAATTCTAGTAATCATAGTCATTATTAGAGTTGAACGGACACCTAGATGTTCGGGTCCGGTGGGTTCGGATGAAATTTTAAAAAAAGTCCGGGTTCGGGCTTGAACTTGACCCCAAACTTGACCCCGAACCCCATGGAAGTCAATGGGGACCTGAACTTTTGGCCACAAAAATACCTCTAAAAAACTCCTGGAACGAGTTAGAAAGCTGCAAAAGCAAGTAAAATGGGCGTAAGAGTAGGACAAGTGCCCTGCAAACAAATGTGGATAGGGAAATCACTTAAAATAAAATAAAAATGTAAAATACAGCTGAGCCATAAAATAGCACTAGATGGAATCTTTGATTTTAGCTTTGGAAGAACATAAATCGAAATCTAAAGCATGACTGTCAGGAGGATCACCAGAATTATCAGTTTGAGAGAGGGTTGGACTGCAGGTTATTCTCTTTCATTGTTCAAACTGAGCTCAACTCCTGATGCATGGAGAAAAGGCTCTGCTAATGTATACATAGTTTAAGTGACCCATAGGTTGAGGAGGCGGTGACCGTGGCGGTATAGGTGGGAGCGGCGGTGGAGAAGGAGGACAGTCAACACTGTTTTTTATTTTTTTTATTTTTTATTGGGGTAGCCCCCAAAATATTGGGACAAACAAAAAAAAGAAACATTTGCGGCCTGCGGTGCATTTCTTGCAGTCCTGATGCATGGAGAAATGCTCAACTCCTGATGCATGGAGAAAAGGCCTTCACAAGCCTCTGCTAATGTGCACCTAGTTTATACTAAGTGACCCATAGGTTGAGGAGGCGGTGACCATGGCGGTGGAGGAGGAGGATGAGGTAGCCAACACTGTTTTTTAAGTTTTTTTTATTTTTTTATTGTGGTAGCCCACAAAATATTGGGACATACAAAAAAAGAAACATTTGCGGCCTGCGGTGCATTTCTTGCAGTCCTGATGCATGGAGAAATGCTCAACTCCTGATGCATGGAGAAAAGGCCTTCACAAGCCTCTGCTATTATGTACATAGTTTATACTAAGTGACCCATAGGTTTAGGAGGCGGTGACCGTGGCGGTGTAGGTGGAAGCAGCGGTGAAGGAGGAGGATGAGGTAGCCAACACAGTTTTTTTTTTTTTTTTAATTGTGGTAGCCCACAAAATATTGGGACATACAAAAAAAGATACATTTGCAGCCTGCGGTGCATTTCTTGCAGTCCTGATGCATGGAGAAATGCTCAACTCCTGATGCATAGAGAAAAGGCCTTCACAAGCCTCTACTAATGTGTGCATAGTTTATACTAAGTGACCCATAGGTTGAGGAGGCGGTGACCGTGGCGGTGGAGGAGGAAGATGAGGTAGCCAACACAGTTTTTTTATGTTTTTCAAATTTTTTTATTGTGGTATCCCACAAAATATTGGGACAAAAAAAGAAACATTTGCGGCCCGCAGTGCATTTCTTGCAGTCCTGATGCATGGAGAAATGCTCAACTCCTGATGCATGGAGAAAAGGCCTTCACAAGCCTCTGCTATTGTGTACATAGTTTGTACTGAGTGGCTGACCCATAGGTTGAGGAGACGGTGACGGTGGAAGTGGCGGTGGAGGAGGAGGAGGAAGCCAACACTGTTTATATCTATTTTTTTATTTTTATTTTAATTGGGGTAGCCCCCAAAATATCGAGACTTACAAAAAAATAAACATTTGCGGCCTGCGGTGCATTTCTTGCAGTCCTGATGCATGGAGAAATGCTCAACTCCTGATGCATGGAAAAAAGACCTTCACAAGCCTCTGCTAATGTGTACATAGTTTATACTAAGTGACCCATAGGTTGAGGAGGCAGTGACCGTGGAGGTGGAGGAGGAGGATGAAGTAGCCAAAACAGTTTTTTATGTTTTTGAGAAAAACCCTTCACAAGCCTCTGCTAATGTGTACATAGTTTATACTAAGTGACCCATAGGTTGAGGAGGTGGTGACCGTGGCAGTGTAGGTGGAAGCAGCGGTGGAGGAGGAGGATGAGGTAGCCAACACAGTTTTTTATATATATATTTTTTTTAATTGGGGTAGCCCCCAAAATATTGGGACATATAAAAAAGACAACTCTGTTCCGCAGAGTAACTGTTGACATTATAGTTGCGCAGGCACTTTGTTGACTCTAGAGAACCTCGGGCCAATCGCACATCCCCGTGACAGCGACTTTGCATTTGGATGTCATTCATATCAACTTTCAATGCCAGTTTCTCTGCCTACCATGGTGACCACGGGTAACAGGGAATCAAGGTTCCATTCTGTACAGGGACCCTGAGAAACGGCTACCACATGCAATGAAGGCAACAGGCGCGCAAATGAGCCACTCCCTACGTGGGAAGGTAGTGACGACAAATAACAATACAGGACTCTTTAGAGGCCCTGTAATTGTAATGAGTCCACTTGAAATCCTTTAACTCTGATCAGTTGGAGGGAAGTCTGGTGCAGAGCGACTGACCCATGCATGCTGCAGCTGAAACTCCACTATCACCTGCTGCTGCTCGCACAGTCTCATGAGGCGGTGAGCGGGAAGGCCGAAGTTACGCTGCAGCGCAGAAAGGCGAGCAGCAGCAGGGTGAGAATGCCAAAAGCGTGCACAGCCGCTACAGTGAATGTCACATCCTGTTCCAAGTTGCGGATCAGTCTGGTAATGGCTTCTGGTATACAGTACTCTTTTTACTGAAGCTGCATCAGGGTCCTGGTATGTGGCCGCACAAACTCTGGTGCTCAACACCAGGGGGCGTGCAGTTACCCTGCACCAGACCTTGCTAATCCATTCCACACTGTGACTCCTAACTTCAACATCAGGCATACTTGGTCCGGTCGTCCGACCACCGTCCAGAAAGTGTCTGGGTCCTGGTCACCGTACTGCCCACCTCACTTTGAAACTACGAATGGATCATTAAATCTGGTACGAACCCGAACTTTGCAGTTAGGGTTCGCTCAACTCTATTATGGATCCTTTCATCACTACATGTATTACTTGGATAACTGGTAATTCTCAAGCTAATACATGCTGACGAGCGCTAGGGGATGGCCGCTCCGCTTTTGCACCTTGCTCCATCTTATGCTATGCTGGTGCCTCTGTGCGACCAGCACCTCTTCCTCCAAACTGCACACATCACTCGCATGACCTTGATTCCATGTGGAGTCTAGGACCTCATCATCCTCCACATTATCTTCCACCCACTCCTCAACCCTGCCCTCCTTGCCGGTATGCACACTGCCGAAAGCCACAGCAGTTGGCACCTGTGTTTTTCCAGCATGTAAAGTCTGCAAAGGACATATGGAAATTGTTTTAGAATTTCCTCCAGGCAACAGTTTTCCCTATGAACTGACCTCTCAGTTTGACTTGTGAGGGTATTGCCCCAGAATTACAATATTGTTGAAATACCTCTTAGCTATTGATAACTGGTTTAAATATAGCAGCTTGTTATCTGGTAGTTTCTAGTGTAGAAAATATCAATCTGTTTTCTATCACTTAGATCTGTGTAACAAGTGTTGTAGGTGTGAAACAATATTACAAGTGACCGATGTAATAAATGTAGTTTGGTTTTTAACTTTGTAGTTGTGTCTTTACACAATATAGAAATGTATATTAATGCTTCTGTATATGAAGCGATCACAATAACACTTATTTTTCACTTTAAAAAAAAATAAAAATCAGACTAAACAAAAATTGGTAATTCACAATATGACATCTGAAAAGCACATGAAAGGATGCTGTATGATTTTAAAAAAAAGAACACACTACATGAAGGTCCTGTTCATTAGAATTTGTAATCATGAATGTAACCAGTAAAACGTTGTTGTTTACAGCCACTGGTTGGCCCATACATATCTTAAAACTTGTTTAATTTTGTTGTAGCATGACTTGTAGATATGAAGAGCAGGCCCAGAAAATAAGAATGTTTACCACTGCCCTGTAACCGCACTATTAGATGCTTCTATTTGACTCTCAGAAATGAAGTGCACGCCCCAAAATGTACTATTTAGCACCGAATTATTATTTTTTAAATTGACTTTTTAAAACTCCAATGTAAGCAGCAGATTAGCAGCAAAACAATTAGAATGTTTACAACTGCGCAGTAAGCGCACTATTTGACTCTCAGATATGAAGTGAACCGCAGGCCCCAAAATGTACTATTGAGCAGATTAGCACCAGAAAATTAGAATTTTTACAAGTGCGCTGTAACCGCACTATTAGACGCTTCTATTTGACTCTCAGATATGAAGTGCACCCCACTAAAATACTATTTAGCAGTTTAGGACCCAAAAAATTTCAAGTTTTAAAAACTGCAATGTGACAGCAGTATTTGACGCTTCTATTTGACTCTCAGTTATGAAGTGCACCCCACTAATGTACTTTTTAGCACCCAAAAAATTTTACGTTTTAAAACTCCAATATGACAGCAGTATTTAAAGATTCTATTTGACTCTCAGTTATGAAGTGCACCCCACTAATGTACTAGTTTGCAGAATTCTTTCCTAAGCTGTCCCTCACAGCTGCAGCATCCTCTCCTTACACTAATAAGACCTCATGTGCGTGCGGCACTACACGACTCCAGCTTATATATAGAGGCTGGGTTACATGCTGCACTGGCCAGACACAGCCATGCCATTAGTAGGCATGGCTGTAATGGCTTCTTAGGGCACACAAGTCAAACGCTTGTTGATTGGCTGCCCTGCAGCCTTTGAAAACGCGCCATTAAATCGCCGAACACCGAACTCCAACCCGAACATACAGTGATATGTCCTTGCTCGGGTCCGGGGTCCAAAAAACCTAATGTTCGGTACGAACCCGAACTTTGCAGTTCGCGTTCGCTCAACTCTATTCATTATCACATAAGATGTTTGGAAGGATGAAGGAAGCCGACATGCTAAGATAACATGAAAGTTTGCCAATTTTTATTAAAGATCATTGCAACATAAACATATAAAAAGAAAAATATTTCCTCATTACGCTGATACCAGAATATACAGGTGTGCAGACAGGGTGTACGCAAGCTCCTAATTAATACAAGCTTCCTATTAAATAATTTAATGGTTAAGGCTCACAGCTTAAATATGCCTCAAATATGGATTTTCATTCACAGTTCAGACTTATAACATTTCACTCACATTAAATAGAAACTAGAAAACGTACCCACACTTATTAATCAGACACTAGAAAATGTACCCACACTCACATTAAATAGAAACTAGAAAACGTACCCACACTTATTAATCAGACACTAGAAAATGTACCCACACTCACATTAAATAGAAACTAGAAAACGTACCCACACTTATTAATCAGACACTAGAAAATGTACCCACACTCACATTAAATAGAAACTAGAAAACGTACCCACACTTATTAATCAGACACTAGAAAATGTACCCACACTCACATTAAATAGAAACTAGAAAACGTACCCACACTTATTAATCAGACACTAGAAAATGTACCCACACTCACATTAAATAGAAACTAGAAAACGTACCCACACTTATTAATCAGACACTAGAAAATGTACCCACACTCACATTAAATAGAAACTAGAAAACGTACCCACACTTATTAATCAGACACTAGAAAACTTACCCACACTCACATTAAACAGAGACTAGAAAACGTACCCACACTCACATTAAACAGAGACTAGAAAACATACCCACACTCACATTAAACAGACACTAGAAAACGTACCCACACTCACATTAAACAGACACTAGAAAACGTACCCACACTCACATTAAACAGACACTAGAAAACTTACCCGCACTCACATTAAACAGACACTAGAAAACTTACCCAAACTCACATTAAACAGACACTAGAAAACGTACCCACACTCACATTAAACAGACACTAGAAAACTTACCCACACTCACATTAAACAGACACTAGAAAACGTACCCACACTCACATTAAACAGACACTAGAAAACGTACCCACACTCACATTAAACAGACACTAGAAAACGTACCCACACTCACATTAAACAGACACTAGAAAACGTACCCACACTCACATTAAACAGACACTAGAAAACGTACCCACACTCACATTAAACAGACACTAGAACACTTAACCACACTCACATTAAACAGAGACTAGAAAACTCACCCACACTCACATTAAACAGACACTAGAAAACTACCCACACTCACATTAAACAGACACTAGAAAACGTACCCACACTCACATTAAAAAGACACTAGAAAACTCACCCACACTAACATTAAAGAGACACTAGAAAACTTACCCACACTCACATTAAACAGAGACTAGAAAACGTACCCACACTCACATGAAACAGACACTAGAAAACGTACCCACACTCACATTAAACAGACACTAGAAAACTTACCCGCACTCACATTAAACAGACACTAGAAAACTTACCCAAACTCACATTAAACAGACACTAGAAAACGTACCCACACTCACATTAAACAGACACTAGAAAACTTACCCACACTCACATTAAACAGACACTAGAAAACGTACCCACACTCACATTAAACAGACACTAGAAAACGTACCCACACTCACATTAAACAGACACTAGAAAACGTACCCACACTCACATTAAACAGAGACTAGAAAACTTACCTGCACTCACATTAAACAGACACTAGAAAACGTACCCACACTCACATTAAACAGACACTAGAAAACTTACCCACACTCACATTAAACATACACTAGAAAACATACCCACACTCACATTAAACAGACACTAGAAAACTCACCCACACTCACATTAAACGGACAATAGAAAACGTACCCACACTCACATTAAACAGACACTAGAACACTTAACCACACTCACATTAAACAGAGACTAGAAAACTCACCCACACTCACATTAAACAGACACTAGAAAACTCACCCACACTCACATTAAACAGACACTAGAAAACGTACCCACACTCACATTAAACAGACACTAGAAAACTTACCGACACTCACATTAAACAGACACTAGAAAACTCACCCACACTCACATTAAAGAGACACTAGAAAACGTACCCACACTCACATTAAACAGAGACTAGAAAACGTACCCACACTCACATTAAACAGACACTAGAAAACGTACCCACACTCACATTAAACAGACACTAGAAAACGTACCCACACTCACATTAAACAGACACTAGAAAACTTACCCACACTCACATTAAACAGACACTAGAAAACTCACCCACACTCACATTAAACAGACACTAGAAAACTCACCCACACTCACATTAAACAGACACTAGAAAACGTACCCACACTCACATTAAACAGAGACTAGAAAACGTACCCACACTCACATTAAACAGAGACTAGAAAACTTACCTGCACTCACATTAAACAGACACTAGAAAACGTACCCACACTCACATTAAACAGACACTAGAAAACTTACCCACACTCACATTAAACATACACTAGAAAACATACCCACACTCACATTAAACAGACACTAGAAAACTCACCCACACTCAC